GATCTGACTCTGACTCAAAACTGTTCATTTTACAGGGCTAATAAAAAAAATATTAGTGTATTTCAACAACAAAAACTTGTTTTATAGTGTCATTTTTTATTGTAGTTACTGTTAAATTTGCGTTTAAATTAAAAAAAAAAGTCATCTTGGGTTTAATTATAGCTTTACTTCCTTGTGATATAAATTTTTGGCAACTTTGAATATTTTTTCATACAATTATGAAAAAACCAAAAGCAGAATTTAATAACCTTACACAATACAAAAAAATTTAATTTTTGTATTATAATTTGTATTACTTTGAAGTGCACTCTGAAGTTACTCTAACAAGAAAATAAATAATTACAAAATGTGTTATTCTTTGTCTAAGCTTCTCTCCTTAGTACTTCTGTTAACAAATACTAAAGAAACAAAGGGCTAGAATTTCTGTATATTAAAGAATCTATAAGATGCTTCAAATTCAAATAAAAAATTCGTATATATATTTTAAGCAACTCTCTCACTAAGTAACATAGCAAAATGTTGAATGTTGTTTGCAGATTTAAAAAAATATTTTGTTTTTAAAGTAGCTTTATAGATTGCAAAAGTCCCCAACAAGTAAACCAAAGAAAAAATATTAATTATTTCTACTACTTTACTTATTTTTAATATCTTTGACACATTTTTACATTTTTAACTTAATAAAATTCAATATTAATTACAATTTTACACACCTCTCGGGCAGTGTCAAATTGTAGTTTAAATAATTGTAAAATTGTAAACAAAAAATCGCCGTAAACTTTTTATCGGACTGTGTAATTTTACAATGTAAACAATGTAGCTTTTTACATTTTTTACAATGTAAAAATTTACAATGTAAATTTTTACATTGTAAAAATTTACATTGTAAATTCGCTTTATAGGATAGGGCCCGTGACGCGAAATATGTCCAAAGCTCGTTACGAACCTCAATCTCGTGCTTATAAAGCAAGCGCTCTAACTACTGCGCCACGGCCGCAGTATTAAAGTCTATATTACGCATTACATAGAATTTGATGAGTTTATGGTTTTAAAATATATAATTAATTTAAAAAAAGTGCATTTTTAATGTCCCACTAATCGACCAAAAACATGAATTTCTAAATGTTGTTAAAAAACTTCTTTTTACTTTGTAAGTTTATTGTTGTGAACTAAGATAATGGAGGAAATCAATTTAACGTTTATATAATGTTATATTATGTTTTCAGGTTTCGAAAAAAGCTTTTGAAAATGTAAATAATGGGTTTAAATACATTGTTACTAGGATTCAAGTCAGAGAAGACAAAACAAATGTATTATGAAAGAGATTAAAACTTTTGCAAAGTATGTTGCACTATGACATGAATCATATAAAAAAAAAAAGAAATAATTCAAGCTAGGCCAGCGCAATAGAAGGGTTGGGAGTTGTGTGACACCCCTCCCCCGTCAATGATTTTTAGTCAGCAAATTTGATCCTTAGTCGACAAATTTGACCCTTTTTGACTAGTTAGTCAGCAAATGTCGACCCTTTCAATATAGGTTAGTCGGTAATTCAGACAGTTAGTCGGCAAATTTTCGAAAACGAGTACCTTTTTTTTTTTTTTTTTTTATTCGGCAAAAGTTGTAATGGCAACCCCAACGTGACATCCACTCGCGCTGGCCTTGGATTCAAGTTTGGCTTAATTAATTTTTTAAAACAATTGATTTAATTGATTCACCAAGTAATCAATCTAAGCTAACCACATTGCAAGAGAAAATGACATCTGAAGAAGCTTTTGCATATTTATATTTCTTGGATAACAAACTTTCAAGAAGTGTTTATAAAAATACCCATAAAGAAGCACTATGCAGATTTTAATCTTATCGAGTAACTTCCAAAATAAAAAACGAGTTCTCACCTTTAAAAACATCTATTGAAGTTACTGAAACAAAGGCCATAGTTAAACTACAGGATCTTATGGATCACACATCCATGTGGCTTGCGAAACTACAGGAAAAGAAAACTTTAAATCATTGGGTTGCAAACTTAATATGATCATAACTTTCAGAAAATAAAAGATTATTTGATGAAAGCTGAAAGCTGTCAACGAATTTAAGTTTAGTATAAGATAGCAGCAAAAATCTTTTTTTAGACTCATTGCCCTCATATTTGGGTGGGAGAGAGGCTCTCCCACCCAAATTGGAGATTTTGCAAAAATACTCAAAGTTTTTTGGGTATTTTTTATCACGGGCTTTAATCAGCGCAAATATTTTGCAAACCATTATACTTTGACTTAAGCATGAACATAGCAAGTTTGGAGCCGTGGAAAATTATCCATTATTTAAACAATGTCTAAAAGTATAACATATAAAAAATCCAATTAGTGCGGTGGGTCCAATCTAAAGGGGGTGGATTTCCCTACCCCCCTTGATGCGCCTATAAGCAAGTTAAACACAAAAATAAAAATTATAATATTAAGTCTCTATTTTACTTTAATAAGGCTTAATATCCATATAAATACAACGATTATATTTTTCGCCACCTATTTCAATTAAATGATCCCACTGTGCAATGGTTGAAACTATTTTGCGTATCCTTAGAATTATTCTTTTTTTGTTTCAATAAAAATCATTTCAGTGAACTTTGTTGTTTTTTATATCCAGTGAAACTTGTTTTTTTAAATTGTTGGTTACAAGCATACTCGCGAGATATTGCTTGATGTTTGCGGCTTGATGAACTTCCATCTGTTTTATACTTCCATGTGATAACCAAAAGAGAAAGGCTTAACTAAGAAGCATTGTCATGCACTAAGATATTATAAATTACTTAAAAAGCACAAAATATAGCATACATATTTTCATAAAAATAGCATATATGTTTTCAAAAAAAAAGTGAAGTTGGTTGAATATATACGCTTAATAAAATTTACTCTTCAATCTACTCACCAAGTGGAGTTTATCGTAGCGCTCATCAATATCCTATTTTCCTCATAGGGTAAAAAACATAAAACTTTATTTAACTTAATTTAAAATATAAATATGAAAACTTTATATTATTAAACATATCATTTTATTTTTAATAACAAATCTTAAATTATTACCATTAAAACTTTGATAATGTGCTATGCTACACATAAAATTATAATTGCGAGCACATTTTTAAGAAATTAAATCCGGTTTTTTCCTGGTTTGCTAGATAATTACTATCATTTTGGCTTACAATCACAGAATTAATATAAGTCACATAAGATAAAACATTTGTATGAAATTTATGGTGTTGTTTTATTTTTCACCGGATTTGGACTTTTTTAATTTAAAAGTTGCAAGTTTCTGAGTTAAAAATTAATTACCTCGATTGTCTTTTATCACCTACACTAATTTTATATTTCATGTTAAATGTGTGTTTATCCTATTATTTGTGCACACGCAAATTTGTACATATCGTGTCTCTTTAGAGTTCGAGATATTCAAGATGAAAAGTAATTTTTGTTTTTGTTTCTTTTGTTTTTTATGAATAAACACATACACACACGCCGAATATACTCTAGGGAACTTTACCTTAAGTATCCCAGAGCTATAGGCTAAATATTTACATATATACATATATAGAATACAAATTTAAAACAACTCTTAGTTGATGAGTTTTTTTTTAACAGTATTATTTTCACCATAGTATTTTCTGATGAGAATCTGGTATTTACACTACATAACTTATTTGCTTTCACTCAAAGCATACATATTTTTACGCGTATATTTTAGTGTCAGGGTTAAGGTTACCTTTTATTAATTTAGTTGTTGTTTGTCTGTATGTAGTTAAGACATTAAATTATGCTGTGTAATTTGAATTTTGCTATATAATTTTACAAGATTACATTGCGACGCTAATAAAAACGAATCGCGTTATTAATAGACCTTTACCATAAAACGGCGAACCTGCAATGCATTGTGGTAGTTGTATTCATTTAAATTAAAACAAATGAAAAAAGTCGAAAAGCCTAATAAACAGTAATCTCTCAGTGTTAGTTCTGTACCTATTTAAGGAAACAAAAAATGTTGTGCTAACAATTATTTCAAAAACCCTTAAACAACTACCTGTTCACTATAAAAAATCCAACTTAACTCTAATTTAATACCTAAAATAACACCAAAACATTATTGAGAATTACTAGTTAACTGCTAGTTAACTTATGCAAATAAATATCTTGTTGTTGTTGTTGTTTGCTAATTCCTATAGAAGTTAAAACAAGAAAATGAAAATCTTAAATCTTAAATTGAAGTTATCCTAAATTAAGAAAAACTTTTTTAAAAAAGCTATATGGAAGCTCAAAGAAAAAGTTCTTCATTTAAAATATACAGGTTTTAAAAAAACAATGAACATATCAAGATTTACAAAGGTTTTAAAATCATGAAATATTTAATGCTGTCCAACAACAACAGCAAAAAAGAAAAAATAAGAAGCATTTTACAGGGTTATTCATTCTTATATGCGCGTCTATTCATTCTTATATGCGCCTTTATTCATTCTTATATGCGCATTTATTCATTTTTATATGCACCTTTATTCATTCTTATATGCGCATTTATTCATTTTTATATGCGCCTTTATTCATTTTTATATGCGCCTTTATTCATTTTTATATGCGCCTTTATTCATTCTTATATGCGCCTTTATTCATTTTTATATGCGCCTTTATTCATTCTTATATGCGTTTTACAAAAGCAATTGTAAAAAAGCAATTTGAACAAAAAAAAATCATTTAAGCAATTTGTTTTGAAAAAATAGTTTATTTTTTCAAAACAAACTTTTCTTATTTCCAAGTAAACGAGGTTAAAAATACTTAAAACGAAGACCTTTTAAATTCGACGATGGTTTATTTAATTTTGTATTAGTTCTTTGTAATTTTATTATTAAATTTCTTGATTGATTAAGTTATTATTTATCTAATTATTCATTTATTTCGATTTAAATTTACTTATTTATAATTATTATTAATATCAAATTATACATCCCTATGTTTGTATATGCGTCAACCACCCATAAAATCTCTAATATAATTTAATTCACACGATAAATACGCTTTTAAATTTTTATCTAGACATATTTAAAATATAAATTAGGTTGTTTTCATTGTTATTTATTTAAGAAATGGTTGCCGAGCCAGCGCTTGATTTATATAACTACGCATATGGTTGTAAAATGGAACTATATTAAACTCTGTAGTATCCATAATATTTTTAAGTTTCCTGATTACCTCATCCGTATTTCGAGGCCTTTCTCCCTGTTTGTAAGTATGTTTTAAAGAAGAAAAAAATTCTTCTATTGGATTAAGCTGTGGCGTGTAAGCTGGCAGATACTTAATAGCTATACCATGAGAGGCTAGTGTTTGCCTAACAGAAAGACTCCAGTGGAATTTACAATTGTCCATAACAAGCACCGGCGCTTCCACATTTGCATTCCTAATCGCTGGTGCCATCATTGTAGTTATGAAAGTACAAAATGAATCTGCATTCCAGCCTCCAGTTTTTGTTTCATAAGCAAGCACTCCTATTGTTGAAACAGCACAAATTAAACTAACATTCTTGCCACGATTTGCAGGCGACTGTAAAATTGCTGGCGCACCTCTTAGCGAATAACCATATGTGCTGTTAGTGTGCACATTAAATCCAGTTTCATCCAAATAAATAAGTTTTTCATCTGAAATTCCGTTAATTTCGCTTGCAAATGCATAGCGTGCATTGATAATTCGTGTTGAATTTCGTTCTTCTGGCACATGCACAACACGTTTTCTTGATAAATCCGAGCGTTTGAGTTTTCTTGAAATAGTAGGCTGAGACATGTTGAAGCCTGCTGCAGAAAGATTTTCTTTTATTGTTTCTTGTACGCATAATTCGATAATATTTTTTATTTGAGCGTTTATAGGTCTTTCACCTCGTTTTTTATCAGAAGACGACTTGAATGCAGTCATGTCGTCGAATTCTCCTCTGTTTAACTTAACGACAAGATTTTGAACTGTGCGTTTCGATAAATTAAGAGAAGTGGAAATGCTTGTTGTAGATTGATTTCTTTCAACTAAATGTTTAAGCATTTCAATGTGCTCTTTTGTAACATTTTTCCTTGTTTTACGATTATTTTCTATTCCATCCATAGGGTAAAAATTTGATATTAATAATTTTAAATAATTAAATAATAAATCTAGAAAAATAAATAATTAGATAAAAAATAACTTAATCAATCAAGAAATTTAATACAATAATACAATTTAATATAATGTAATAAAATTAAACTAAAAACTAATACTAAACCATCATCGAATGTAAAAAGTCTTCGTCTTATAAGTATTTTTAAACTCGTTTACCAGGAAATAAGAAAAATTTGCTTTGAAATAATAAACTGTTTTATCAATGATTTTATTAAATGATTTTTTTTGGTTCAAATTGCTTTTTTACAATTGCTTTTGTAAACCACATAAAAATAAATAAATGCGCATATAAAAATGAATAAATGCGCATATAAGAATGAATAAAGGCGCATATAAAAATGAATAAATGCGCATATAAAAATGAATAAAGGCGCATATAAAAATGAATAAATGCGCATATAAGAATGAATAAAGGCGCATATAAAAATGAATAGACGCGCATATAAGAATGAATAACCCTGTAATATAAACGATAAATACGCTTTTAAATTTTTATATAGACATATTTAAAATATAAATTAGGTTGTTTTCATTGTTATTTATTTAAGAAATGGTTGCCGAGCCAGCGCTCGATTTATATAACTACGCATATGGTTGTAAAATGGAACTATATTAAACTCTGTAGTATCCATAATATTTTTAAGTTTCCTGATTACCTCATCCGTATTTCGAGGCCTTTCTCCCTGTTTGTAAGTATGTTTTAAAGAAGAAAAAAATTCTTCTATTGGATTAAGCTGTGGCGTGTAAGCTGGCAGATACTTAATAGCTATAACATGAGAGGCTAGTTTTTGCCTAACAGAAAGACTCCAGTGGAATTTACAATTGTCCATAACAAGCACCGGCGCTTCCACATTTGCATTCCTAATCGCTGGTGCCATCATTGTAGTTATGAAAGTACAAAATGAATCTGCATTCCAGCCTCCAGTTTTTGTTTCATAAACAAGCACTCCCATTGTTGAAACAGCACAAATTAAACTAACATTCTTGCCACGATTTGCAGGCGACTGTAAAATTGCTGGCGCACCTCTTAGCGAATAACCATATGTGCTGTTAGTGTGCACATTAAATCCAGTTTCATCCAAATAAATAAGTTTTTTATCTGAAATTCCGTTAATTTCGCTTGCAAATGCCTAGCGTGCATTAATAATTCGTGTTGAATTTCGTTCTTCTGGCACATGCACAACACGTTTTCTTGATAAATCCGAGCGTTTGAGTTTTCTTGAAATAGTAGGCTGAGACATGTTGAAGCCTGCTGCAGAAAGATTTTCTTTTATTGTTTCTTGCGTGCAAAGATTGTTTTCTTGTACGCATAATTCGATAATATTTTTTATTTGAGCGTTTATAGGTCTTTCACCTTTTTTATCAGAAGACGACTTGAATGCAGTCATGTCGTCGAATTCTCCTCTGTTTAACTAAACGACAAGATTTTGAACTGTGCGCTTCGATAAATTAAGAGAAGTGGAAATGCTTGTTGTAGATTGATTTCTTTCAACTAAATGTTTAAGCATTTCAATGTGCTCTTTTGTAACATTTTTCCTTGTTTTACGATTATTTTCTATTCCATCCATAGGGTAAAAATTTGATATTAATAATTTTAAATAATTAAATAATAAATCTAGAAAAATAAATAATTAGATAAAAAATAACTTAATCAATCAAGAAATTTAATACAATAATACAATTTAATATAATATAATAAAATTAAACTAAAAACTAATACTAAGTTAAATAAACCATCATCGAATGTAAAAAGTCTTCGTCTTATACGTATTTTTAAACTCGTTTACCAGGAAATAAGAAAAATTTGCTTTGAAATAATAAACTGTTTTATCAATGATTTTATTAAATGATTTTTTTTGGTTCAAGTTGCTTTTTTACAATTGCTTTTGTAAACCACATAAAAATGAATAAATGCGCATATAAGAATGAATAAAGGCGCATATAAGAATGAATAAAGGCGCATATAAAAATGAATAAATGCGCATATAAGAATGAATAAAGGCGCATATAAAAATGAATAGACGCGCATATAAGGATGAATAACCCTGTAACTTGCAAAGAAGCAAGTTGCAAACTTATTTTACAGGAAATATTTTTGCTAAAATAAACTTGAAATAAAATTATGTTTTCTTTAAAAAAATAATTAGCAAAGAATATTCTATAAATCCGCATTTTAATCATTCGTTTGGTGTTGATTGATGATTTTTCTCATGCACAATAAAAGTTTTAGTTTCTATTCGTCGTTTTACTGTTTCTGTTTGTAGTACCATTGCTAAATTTTGTATAAAAATCTTGATCATTGCATTCCTTTATAGCTGTTAAATCTAATTTTTGAAATTATTAATGCTTTATGTACTTTTTTCACTTACTTTATGTAGTTTTTTCAGCACTCAATACACTATCAGGGATACAACTCAACCACATTTTAAGTTTATATAATAAAAAATGTTTTCATATAATTTTATAGACTTTTACACCATTCATTTTGTATATTCAGCTTTTTTTCTACTTTTATATTTTATATACCTGCATATTTTTGTTTCAATTTGATGCTGTAAATCCTTTTTTTCTTTCTCTATACTACTATTTGTTCTAAAATTGTTTAAATGTATAACATATATTTGAAAAAACGTAAATATAACTCTACAATTTTTTGTTCAGAAGACAAACGAGTAATTGATTTTATTTGCGAAATTGTCAAATAGGGTACTAATAATTAGAGGTGTACCGGATACTTTTGCCGGATATGCCGGATATTGAACTTTTCTAAAGTTCTATAAGTGTTTATAAAGAAACAAGTCTTGTCTACAACAAATAGTTTTCAAGATTTTACTTTGAAAAATCAAAAGAAAAGCTGTATGACATGGGATATGTGCTGACGAAGGATAGAAAATATAAATTAAAAAAAAAACAAAAATTTGGCTGTAAAAACGACTTTTCCTTATACATTATTAACGCATATACCTGTGTTATGCCAATTTTTTCTTGATTCTATTTTTTTAAATCTTGAACACTATTCAATGTAGAATGGCAAGACTTGTTTTTTCTTTATAAATACTTATAGAACTTTAGAAAAGTTCAACATCCGGCATATCCGGCAAAAATATCCAAAAATATAAACACATTTACTAATAACCAAAATCTTTTAAACTAAAATTCTTTAACTATTCCCTAGGTTTTATAAATCTTCACAAACTGTTTGAAGTTTAATTTTAATAAGAATTTGGTAATGAACAGTATTTTCATAATACTGAAGCTAAAAATATTTTTTGAGTTTTATATGTCTTTAGAAGTCATCAGCTTTTTTAAATTTAGTTTTGAAAACAAATTACTTCTGAGTTAGTTGATTCACTTTGAATCAACTAACTCTGATATGCTGTGTCTGTAAAACTTCAGTTTCTCTTCAATAATTGACTCTTTATAGTTAACTAGTTGGTATAATGATGTAACAGCATGCTTATTTTATAAGTCTATGATAATGTCTGTTATAAATTAAAAAAGACACCATACCAGCTTCAACTTTCTTTTACAGCTTACAATAGCATTTAGCATTTATTACTTCCCAGTAGACTAGCACAAACGTATATTGTTCAGGCTTCATAGACGCTGCAGACTCTTTACAAAACCAAAATGTATGGATGCTTTGACACGTACATTTTCCCTGTAATTTTCTTTCAATAAGCAAACTAAATTTTCGACGTTTCTCTTTTTAATTATCTCATGATATACTCTTATTACCAAAATAATTCTTTATAAAATTATATGGTATATCTGAAAAAATGAGGTCTCTTGTTTAGGTTGAGAAGTTGTTGCTTATCAATTTTTTCAATTATTACTCCGTCACATATTCTTTGTTCATCGAAAAAAATAAGTTTATCATATTTAAGTTTACAAACAACTTTAGATGCCAGATAAAAGATCTGAAATTATACCTCATTACTATAATATTTATTTCAGAAATGATTACAAATACCACAATGCACTGCATGTTTGCCGATTTATGGGAAAGGTCTATTAGCGTTAAAAATGATTTTAATTTTATTTTCATTGAAATAAAATGTGTTTTTACAATACAATTAATTGTACGTTAAATATTAGGTGTTCAACCTTCTTCAGAAAATTTATTTTCACGCGAAAAACTACTTCATGAAATTCAACATAAATTTTTACAAGGTACAGACAATTCAGTTGTAGTATTATGTGGTATGTCGGGTGTTGGAAAGACACATATTGCAAGAACATTTCGAGAAAATTATTATAAGTTATATAAAAACTTTGTTTGGATAGACGCAGCATTTGGAAAGTTACAAACTTCGATGAGAAACCATTGTCAAATATTAGGATTCGAAGTTCGCGATTTAAAAGGTGATTATTTTAATATGGAAGTGGTTATTGAAAAAGTTCACCACTATTATAAAAACGAAAAGACTTTGTATATTTTCGACAATGCCGACGACGAAAGTGTTAAAAATTTAGCAATGTATATTTCAAGAAAACCAAATTCATTTACGTTGATAACCTCTCAATGGAGAACGTGGTCAAAAAATGTTAACAAAATTCACATTGATGTTTTTTCTTCTAAAGAAGCATTCGCTTATGTAAAAAATAGTATTAAAGAAAACACCGAGAAAAACATTAAAAACCTGATTAAAGAACTTGGTTATCATCCGTTTGCTATTACTCAGGCAATAAAATATATAAATATACACAAAACGTCAATAGAAAAATACTTAGACCGGTATAAATCAAATCCTTCAGAAATATTAGACAATATAAACTTTCCAACCGAAGAGGAATCAAAATCTGCAATAAAAGCAATTAATTTAGTTTTATTAAAACTAGAAAAAACTAAACCCTTTCCATTCAAGATATTAAACTGTTTATCTCATTGCGATGGTCAAAACATAAGTAAACAATTTATAACCCAAATCTCAAACTACGTGCAAATAAACGAAGAACATCTAATAGATGAAGCCATTGGATTACTAATAAGTTATTCTTTATTAAACTGTTTTGATGATGAAAAATATTCTATGCATGAACTAACACAGTTGTCGTGCAGATGTTTTCAAAATAAAAATTCAAGTACTAATACGTATCTTGATCTTATCGAAAATTATTTAGGATTTGAATTAAAAGAAGTAAAAGATCACATGGATTACGGAAACCATTTTGTTTTTCATTTTATCTATATGTTTCGTAATAACGGAAAAAGAATTTCAAAAGTCTTTAATGATATGACAACTTCTATTAAAAAATTATTAGTATGTAAAGGTTTATTTAAAGAAGCAATCGAAATATTAAGAGCTATTCAAAATTTCAATACAGAAACTAACGGTGAAAATAATAAACTCACGCTTGATGCAAGACATAATATCGCAAACTGTTTGTACGATATGGGAAAATATAACGAGGCTTTAGAAATTTATTATTCTGTTGATAAAATAAAAACTGGAAATTTAGGTATCGACCAACCAGATACATTGAGAACAAAAAATAAAATTGGACTCTGTTTGAACAGCATGGGAAAATATGCCGAAGCTTTAGAAATTTACTATCCTGTTAATAAAATACAAACTGAAATTTTAGGTATCAACCATCGAGATACAATGACAACAAAAAATAATATTGCAAACTGTTTGTACTATAAGGGAAAATACAACGAAGCTTTAGAAATTTATTACTCTGTTGATAAAATAAGAACTGAAATTTTAGGCATCAACCATCCAGATACAATGACAACAAAACATAGTATCGCAAACTGTTTTTACAAAATGGGAAAATACAACGAAGCTTTAGAAATTTATTACTCTGTTGATAAAATAAGAACTGAAATTTTAGGTATTAACCATCCGGACACAATGACAACAAAACATAATATTGCAAACTATTTGAACAAAATGGGAAAATATAACGAAGCTTTAGGAATTTATTATTTTGTTGATAAAATAAGAGCTGAAATTTTAGGTGTGAACCATCCAGATACATTAAGAACAAAACGTAATATTGCAAATTGTTTGAACAGTATGGGAAAATATAACGAAGCTTTGGAAATTTATTACTATGTTAATAAAATACAAGTTGAGATTTTAGGTATCAACCATCCAGATACAATGACAACAAAACACAATACCGCATTCTGTTTGTACGATATGGGAAAATATAACGAAGCTTTAGAAATTTATTATTCTGTTGATGAAATTGAAACTGAAATTTTAGGTATCAACCATCCATCTTCAATGATAACAAAACATAACATAGCAAGCTGTTTGTATGATATGGGAAAATATAACGAAGCTTTGGAAATTTATTACTCTGTTAATAAAATACAAGTTGAGATTTTAGGTATCAACCATCCATCTACGATGACAACAAAACATAATATCGCAGGATGTTTGTACGATATGGGAAAATATAACAAAGCTTTAGAAATTTATTACTCTGTTGATAAAATACTAACTGAAGTTTTAGGTATCAACCATCCAGATACAATGACAACAAAAGATTGTATCGCAAACTGTTTAAGTAATTTAGAAAAACGGCAAACAAGTTGTTTAATTATATGATTATTATTTTAGTTTTAATAATTATTTGTATATGTATATTTTTAAAAGGCTAGTTATCGTAAGCTCAATAAAACATAAGGTAACGAACATTTTTTTCATTTTAAGTTAGAAAACATGGTGTATAATTAGTATAAACAACATCTTAATTCATATAAGTAATGAAATATCGGTTGCCAGTTCAAGTTTTTTATTAGCATAAAATTTAAATAAATAGCGGAAATTTTCTCAACTTATTGTTTATATCTATAAAGTGTTTGTATTCTATAAATTGTGTGTGTGTGTATATATATATATATATATATATATATATTATATATATATATATATATATATATATATATATATATATATATATATATATATATATATATATAGTAATTCTTTTATTTGACGTTTTCATTTAATCTACAAAATATTTTTAGTTTATGCATCATAAAAATTATTAATAAAAATTTTGTCCTTAATTTCCCTGCTATCACAGATTACTAAAAGTTTTAAAGTTTCTAATGAAAGTGGAAGCAATAGCTTTGCAAAAGATAGCAAAGTTCATTTAGTTAAAAATATTCTTGCTGCAAATGATTCAAATGACTCTAAATTAGAGTATAATGCTTTTTAGCATTAGACTCTAACTATAATCTAGTTCTAAAAAAAGTCTAATGCTTTTTTTGTTTATGTAAACTTTGAGCGTATGGATCAATTTTTACAGATTAACTTGATTCATTTTTACAGTTTGTTTTCTATTTTGAGAAACTTTCATATTTTGTAAAAGTTTATTCTTTGAAAAAATTGATAACTCAATGCTTTCTGCTGCCACATAAAAATGGTTTTTTTGGAATCCCACAAATGCACTCATCCTAAAATTAATATCGTGTTTATAACTTTTCGTAAGACATAATGTCATGAGACTTATGTATTAATATAAACAGCTTTATATTTATTAAGTATTTGATAATATTCTTGTTTTATTTGGCATTATTTCATTTTCAATAGGATGTTTTTTTTTTTCGGAAGTTCTTTTTTCTTTTTTTAAGTTATCTTTCCTATTTTTTATAAGTAAATCAAATTATTATAAAATAATCTCTTATTTGAAAGTTACTTTTCAAATTTTTTATTCAAAACTGTATTATTTGCGGTAGCGTTATACTTTGCGCAATATTTACTCAACTCTTGCGTTAGATTGAAAAAAAAATAAACAAGTAGTTTAATCGCTATGTTTGGAGTCATATTTGCTTTACCTTAAACTAATTTTTTTATGTTAAGTTTAAGGTAGCAGGAAAAAATCCCCCGGGAAAATATCTCCCCTGAAAAAAACCCCGAGAAAAAATCTCCTCGGAAAAAATCCCCCCGAGAAAAAATCCCCCAGGAAATTATCCCCCCGGAAAATTTTTTTTTAGTTAAAAATTATCAATTAAATAGTTATATTTATTTATTTCAAATAGTTTTCAAAAACACTTCATTTTTCATCAAAATGTAAAGTTATGCGCTATTCCTCAGTTGTCAGTAAAATGCGAACTGCGCATCGCGAGCTGCGAACCGGTAAAATGTGAACTTTTTTGCGAAACAAAACATATATTAAAGACCATTATTTTTTTGATAAAAATAAATAATAAAAAAAAAAACTCTCCATATCTTAATATTCTATTTTAAAGCTTTATTTAAAATAAATTTTTTATTTTTTAACGGTAAAATATGCGCGGAGTGTTGCTACATCAACTATCTTATAGCCTGACTCGCAACGGAGTGCTGCTACATCGATTGACAAATAGCCTGACTGGGTTTGGTTTGGGCAGGCAGTATATCAAATAATTAAAAAAAAATATATATATATTTTTTCATATTGTTTTCGTCTAGTTTCATTTAATTTCTTTTTATCTTTTTTTTTTAATTAATTTTTTCGCTTAAAAGTCCTTAAAATATACCGCTAAATTAACTACGATGGTTCGCAAAAAAGTTCACACTTTACCAGTTTGCAGTTCGACAGGGTTAGGATTAGGTTTTCACATTCGCTACCTTCGAGGAATAGCACATAACTTGACATTTTGATAAAAATGAAGTAATTTATATAAATATTTAAAATAAATAAAGAAATAAACATAATTGCATTTTGAAAATTTTTACGTAAAAAAATTTTTTTTTTCAAGGGGAATATTTTCCGGAAGGTTTTTTTCTCGGGGGGATTTTTTCCGGGGGGATTTTTTCTCAGGGGGACTTTTTCTCGGAGGATTATTTCGGGGGGATTTTTTCCCCTTGGGATTTTTTCCTAGAACCGAAGTTTAACTGCGTTGAAATGTTTCGGGACTATGCTCGTAACCTTTTGTTTCGTAAACAATAAGAAAACGACATCAAGGCTGTACTTAAACGCCTAATCTTTATACATTGACGCAAATAGGTACATTTATAATAATTTAAAAATAAAGTTTCACCAATAATATTCTAGAAAAACATTAAAAATGGCGCAACAAAACGGCAAACAACAACTTATTTATAAACTTCATATTAAATGAATGGAGTATTACAAAAATGAATGGAGTTATGATATACAACTAATTAAACTTTAAACTTTAGTTATTTAGAAAACAATTTTTTTGATTTTTTTAAAAATTGTTTTAGTTGTCTTTTTTATCAAGTGTTGTGTTATGACTTGAAGCAAGTAAAGAAGCTTAAACTAACATGGTTTTAAAATCAAGTGGTTCTATTTAATTACCGAGTTTTAATAAACTATTTGCTGAATAATTGCAATTACTAATGGTTAAAAATTTGCAGCATATCCCTAGAATAATTAATTTTTTATTTTTTTTTTAATAAAGATCATTTCAGTGAAGTTTGTTGTTTTTTTATCCAATGAAACTTGTTTTTTTTTTTATTGTCGAGACGACTCCCAAGACGACTTGAAATTGCTTTGATTTTTGCGGCTCGATGAACTTCCATCTGTTTTATACTTCCATGGTTTTACTAATCCTATATACAAACGTAATATTTAAAATAAGTATTGAATATATATTGCCATATGACAAAATACAATATTTGAATTATACGTTAAGACTTGCTTTCCAAATATCCTTCTTTAATTGAGGTTTTTAAAGCATTGCTAATAAATACTTATATAAAACATGCGAAATGTTTCCAAATACCAATTTCTAGGTCCGAGTTAATTACTAATGAAACGGTAGCATATTGTTCACTTAATTATTAGTTTAAATCAATAAGCCGGGAATATAAAATAAAAACAAAAAAAAGCAATTACTTTTATTCAGTAACTGATCAGCTTTACGTAAATAAAAACTTAAGCAATTTTGCTCAAACTTTTATTCACGTAAAGCTAACTATCACTCAGAGTTTTGAATTAAATTGCTTAGCTTTACGTGATTAAAAAGGCCCCGAATGAATAAAAAAAGCAATTGCTTGTACTCAGTAATTTGTCAGATTTATGTAAATAAAAATTTCAGCATTATTGTTCAAGTTTTTATTCGAGTAAAGCTGAGCAATTACTGAGTAAATTGCTTAACCTTACGTGAATAAGAATTTATGCAGTTTTTATTTACGTAAAACTGACCAATTACTGAGTAAAAGCAATTGCTTTTTTATTATTCACCCGGCCTAAAATGTATAGGAGTTTTCTAAAAGTTTTATTCATGTGAATCTGAACAATTGCTCCACAAACGCTGAGTAAAAACAATTTTTATTTTCCATAATATAATGTTCAATAACTACCCAAGTATCATACCTCTATCTTTTCTTCATTTTGTCAATGAACGAACTCGTTAAAAATGAATCTACAAAGCTAAACCTTATGACGTCACAACTTTTTTTATGCGAGTGTGCAAATTTAAATAATAAAAATTTATACATATTTATAAAAATTTATAAAAATTTATACATATATTTAAAAATTTATAAAAATTTATAAAAATCTATAAAAACTTATAAAAAATGATACCTTAAAAATTTAAATTTATAATAACTTTGTGATTCAATAAAATTCTCTCATTTTTGGTTTGGTCAGCTCTTACATAAATTCTGTTAAAACCAATCACTTTATTGAGATCTTTAACTTTTCTAGTGCTGTCTGGTGGTTTCTACAACTATTAAATTTTTTTTGAGTTGCATTCAAATTACTTAACTGAGAAACTTTAAAAGAAATTTTTTTTGAGTCTCCTTTTAACCTTGACATTATTTTTGTACAGTTTCAAAATAGCCAGATAGCCAAATAACCAGATTACCAAATAGCCAAATAACCATTTTGATTAGAAGAATCTGCAACAGTAATAATTTCAGATCTTTTTATTAATTTTCTTTGTGGTTTTGGAAAAAAAAGCTTTATTGTTCTCTATAGTGGTTACGTTTCTAACTTTGATAATAAAGCCAGTTCATGCATTAGCACTACTTATATCATTAGAACTTTGTTTAAGTTTATCAATTTTAAGATGTTTCGCGTCATTTTATGTTTCTAATGATCTAATGAGCCAATTCTTATAAAAGAGTTAAAATTAATTGCTACAGTTTTCCACACAAGTAGGCAGCTGCTTAGTGAGTTCACTCGAGTTTCCTTGGGCAATCCTAGGCCAATTTTCGTCTTATAGTTAAGTCCATGTTAATTGAATAATTATCTAGACACTCAATGATGAGTTGAAAAATCATATTTGGAAGTTGGATGAAAATATAATTTACGTGTTAAATTACATAAACTTTGAGGAAATCTGATTTCTTTGAGGAAACTGAAGTTAAACAGAAAACAATATATATAACAATTCTTTCTGCTAATTAATACTTGAAATTTACATTGCACATAATCTGAGAATCCACAAAAGTAGCTCATTATTCTGGTTGCTAGCAATGCAGCGAAAAATGATTAACTTTTAATGAAAGTGACCAAATTGAACCAAGTGTTTGCAATTGTATTATGTTCTATATGAGGTTGTGTTGTGCCTGCATCTTTCTTTTTCACAAGGTAGCTTTGTAAACCCGACTTTTTGGTTATCAAATCTCTATACAAAAGTAAACTTATTGCATAAGAATTGTGCTCTTGCAAAAACTGCTCCTATATCTAGAAAAAAAGAAGAAAGCACGGTCATCTCACTGACATATTTTGAGTTTTTAAATTGTTGTGATTATAACTAATAACATTCTTGCGTTTTACATTTTACAAGCTATACATTTTTTTAGAACTTTAAAGCATCATCATCGTTGATAGTAACTTTGTGTGTCTTTTTATTGCGCAATGTAAAGTAAGGACGTTACTATGGCTATGGTAAGTAAGGATTACAATGAAAAAATTTAATTTTGACATACCATTGATACACAGAAAAAAATGATTTTATTTATTGAAATCATATTGAGATGTTATAGTAAGACAAATGAGTTTCTTAATAAATTATTTTTAAATTTCTTTTTTATATTATAAGAAAATTAACTTTTACTGTTGAAAACAGCTTTATTCCCATCAAACTCGCCATGCTTGGCCCAACATCAATGTCATTACTGGCCCACCATCGGCCGATAAGCATGGTCCAATCCAAGTCTTGCTCACCGATTAAGGCATGGTCCACGTATGGCAGCCGTTTTTCAAACGGCCGATGCTTTGCCATTTTCTTTTTTTATGCTACTTTTGGTTCATTTTGTTTGTTATTTTTATAAATAGCACTCTTTAATAAACGCGAAATTTTAACTCAGAGACATTTGGGAGAGAAATGAAAGGTTTTAAAGTAAAACAAGTCAGGAAGAAAAAGGTGAAGCGGGGTAATGTTTGCCTACCTAAAAAAGTTGCATGGCTGATAAAAAAAAGGAATGTGGGATATTTTAAACTGTAAATGCACAGTCATTTCAACAATTTTATATTACCAAATATTTTTATTTCAATAAAATTGCCTTGCAATAAAATACAAATAAAAGTTTAAGTTTAACGAACGGTTAAACTTCTACATTTCAATTTGATGCTTGCATGAACTAACGTTTTATACTTTTTGATATCCGTATTTTTCTGTCAAGCTGATAGATTCAGTAATTACAACCAAGTCACACAAAAATAACCAAAAATGAAGAAATTGTAAAATAAGTATAAAGTTGTAATCTAAATAGCTTGAGGTAAAGAAATCGTAAAATAAGTATAAAACAAGATTAAATAAGAAAGTAGTAGATTTATCTCTTCTACATTAATTAAGTTATGCATTTTTTACATATTATAAGGAATACAAAAAAAAAAAGAAAAATAATAATAAAATAAAATAAAATAAAAATAAAAAGTAAATAAAAAATAAAGGAAAACAACAACAAAAAAACTCATCAAGCGTGATGAGTTTTTTGTTGTTGTTTTCTTTCATTTTATATATCAATTTCTATATCAATGAAATTTCTTGGGATGCAATAACAAATGAATATCTTACGTTGTTTATCCAATAAATCATAACTCATTGATTGCATGATAACATTAGATATTTATGTTGTTTTTGAAAAAATACTCGCAATGAAATACTACATAAAAAAATTATAAAAATTTATTAAGTTTCTTTGGCTACCATATAAAAGGTAAAAGAAAAATCTTGTTCATCCAATATTTTACAACTCATTGACTCCACGATAACATTAGATAATCCTGTTGTTTCAAAAATTACCATCAACCAATTACTACACATAAAAATTATAAAAACATATTCCAATTATCTTAAAACTATAAAAACATTGTGATCTACACAAATGTAACTATAAATATTCTGTATATCAATAAAAGATTTCAATACATTAAACACATTTAACCTGCAATAGAATCAAGCAAAAGTATAAAGGAAGATCATCATTACTATATGATGTCTTCATGTACTAACAGTTGATACTACTCGACCTCCAATTTCACTGTAATCATTTTCTCCTGATAATGTGACAGGAGATTTAAAAGTCATTTAAACAGTTTTGCAACTAATTTCTAATAATAAATAGATATTAAAGCACTAAACTTATATTAAAAAGTAGCAATATATTTATATATTAGAACTTGTTTATTATGCCAGGAAGTTGTTTTAACTACAAGGAAGTGCCACCACATCGAGGGTTTGATTGGGGCAGGCAGTCAAAATATTCCTTATGTTTATATTAAAAAGTCAATTTGAGCAAGTCTCACAACAAGCGAAAAAATAAAATTATTTTATGCTGCTTAACTGCAGATTTACCCATTTATATAAGTAAATGGTATAAATATATATCTATATATATTATATTTAACATTATATTTATGTATATATACAATTATTATATAAATATATATCTATATATATTATAATAATATTATATTTATGTGTTCATGTATATATATATAATTATATAATTACTTAAATATAATTACAGATATCATTTACTTATACTATAAATGGTATCCATTAACAAGTCATAGATTATACCTCGTTGAAATATAACATTTGCCGGATTTTATAACCTATGACAATATTCATTATTAAATAGTACAACCTATGATAGTATTATATTGATAGTAGTAATCTATATAATATAGTATAATATCATAATATTTGATTTTATTTTAAAAGTAAGTAAATGTTTTTTGAGGATCTCAAATCATTTTTACTTTATATTATAAAGCATAAATAACTTTTAAAACCAAATCAAATATATGTCACATATATTTGATTTGATTTTAAAAGTAAGTAAATGTTTTTTGAGGTACCAAAACAAATTGTAGTGGCACACATAATATTATTATATGTGCTACTTCAATTCATTTTGCTATAAAAGATTTTTTACCATTTGTTAATGAACTCCAATAAAATTATAGCAAATAGAAATCAATAAAAAGTAGACTACTGCAGCTTCTCCTCAGCCTCTCCCCCCTCCCCCTTATTTTTATTGCTGATTATGATAGAGAATTTTATGCTGATTAATAATCGTATAAAAACATAGGTCTGAAAATCAACAAAAAATGCTCTAATTCGGTATTAAAGTTTAAAAAATTACACCAAAAACCGCTAATATTCGCCATTTTTTTCACACTCGGTTATAATTAAAATCCATTTCAAAGATAAATTTAAAAAAGCCTGGTTTTTATCAACAATTTGAAGCAAAACTGTTAAAAAATGCTGAGCGCATCATTTTCTGATTTATCTCTTGCCCAAACCCTAACCCTCTCCCAAATCATGTACGTTTAATCGCGCCAATCCCTATTTGTCAGTCGATGTATGTGCATTTAGTTGTGCCATATGTATGTGCATTTAGTTGTGCATTTGTCAGCCGATTTATGTACATTCAATTGCGCCAATCCCTATTTTTCAGTAAATGCATAAAAATTGAATGGCGCCAATCCCTAATTGTCAGTCAATTTATATACATTTAAAAGCAATATCTTAAATTATTTTTAAAAAATTATTTAAAAATATATAAAATAAATTCATTAAAACATTTAATTTTTTTACAAATTTGACGACCATAAAAACCGGGTAATTAAAAAAAGATAACCCAGTGAAAAATAAAACCGCGTCCCACATGGGTTCCATATAGGTTCCGTGTGGGATTCATGGGATTTATATGGGACGGATTTTCCCATGTGGTATCCGTATGGAAATTTGCCACTTAAAACCCATATGGGTAAATCCCACATGGGTTACATGTGGTATTTACCCACATGGGATTTTCTCATGTGGTATCCGTATGGAATTTTGCCACTTCAAACCCATATGGGTAATCCCACATGGGTTACATGTGGGAACCATATGGTTTTTACCCACATGGGAAATCCCACGTGAGTTTCTTGTGGGATTTACATGGTATTTTATTTGAAGGCTGGAAAACTAAAATAATCTTAAAAATTAAAAACAACATTACATTACAGTCATTCTGGGTAACTTTGAATTTGCGCGTAAAATTGAATAAAACGTGTAAATGTTTTTAAATTTTTTTTCTTCGGTATTTTCTTTGTCTGTTGCTTTAACAAAGGATAATGTAATAAGTTATCCTTTTTTACAAAAGTTTGACCATAGATAATTGAATTTTGTTTCTCAAAAATATTTTTTCCCTCGATTTCAAGTTACACAGTCGAATGTGGTGATAATATCGTGTGTTATCAATTTAGAATATTTGTTACTATATTGTAAATATCAGAATAAATTTTTTAGTATTTTATTGAATTATTTTTCGAATTTTAATAAAAACTCTAAATAATAGGAAATAACATGTTTTTTGGTACTCAAAGGATATTTATTTTTAATTAGCTAAAATATAACCCAAATCAGGGTAACTTTGAATAATCAATGTTTTATATAATTTAATCAATGTTCATAGGTACGTGGAAATATCCGTTTTACGGAACCGAATATTGTGCTAAAAAACTGTGCCACGCTTTTTAGATTTTTTTTTAGCTAGCGTAGGGAAGACGTGTTTAGTTAAAAAACTTTTTAGAATTTGATATCAATATAGATTATTTTTAGAAACTAGAATAGTTAAACTTTATTACTGTGAGGTTTATTATTTTACTAGATGGCTTTTTTACTGAGTTTTTTGATGTCTGAAACTTTGTTGTACTTTGGGCATGAAATTGATGTCGAAGATATGCTCTTTTTTTTTCTATACTATTCTTTTTTTTAAGTTTTTCATTTATCTATGCACCTGAAAAATTTCATTGAAAAAATGTTGTAGCAGGGTGTCTATTTTTTGTCGCACTTTTGGTACCTAATTTTCATTTTGCTGAAGTGGTCGCGGGAGACAGAGGGGTTAAATAAATATTGTTTATATTTGATTTTGATTGAATAAAATTTTCAATTTTTTCTTTTAGATTAAATGAAATGGAAAGTTGAAATATTGATAAAAGTTTTTAATATTGTTTCCTATTTATTAAAATTTTAAAAAAATTATTTGCCTTCAATGTAAAGTTATTAAATGAATTTTAATGTTTCCTTACTTAAAAGTTGAATTTTTTAAAAATGTAACTGACATATTAGTAATATTATAACATATTTCATCTTACATTGTAAGTCTCTCCAATAACAATTGCAATATGCTACTACTTGTTGTATCATGCATCTTTTTCTAAAAAAGTCTAGGTAAAAACTAGGCTTTTTTTTTTAATGATTAACTGTTAATCTTTTAACTGTAATAAATAATATTTATATTATTTATTACAGTTGATACAGTTATAATATGGTCATATATAACTAATATATGTTAGCAACCTTATTCAACTTTTATGTAATATATATATATATATATACATATATATACTTTTTTTTATATTTAAAATTTTTTTCTATATACAATTTAGAACAAATTATTAGTAAGTAAAGTTTGCAATATTTTAGTTATTTAGTCATTTAAACTTTTTTTTTTTATAATGTTAGTGTTATAAATTATTTATAATAAAGTAAGTAACTTAAAGTTGGCTTTTAGGTGAATTTAGACAGCAGATTTGTAATTTTAGTAAATTTTAATAATTTCAATAGTATAGTTTAATGATACATGCTAAGTAAAGATTATTCCTTAATTGATACACAAGCTAAAGGTGTTTAATTTATTGATACACACTAACTAAAGATGTTGTAGCGAAAATTGTAACTTGAAATTAAGTTTATTTTAATAAACATTGTATTACTATTGTTATTACTTACTTCTTTTTAATTCTTTTGCAACACTTCATTAATTTGTTAGAGATTAATGTGTATTTTTATGTGTATATATTGAGAAATATAGTCTGATTTTGTGGATTATGCAGTATTATACTATTTAATATGTACTATGTTATTTTATATTTAATATGTACTATATATGTATATTTAATATGTAATATTTACATATACCATTTAATCTTTTGTGTCATTGTATTATTTAATCTTTAATATCCTTGTCATCTGTTGCAGCTGGTAAGGTTTCTATATTATTAATTTGAGAGATAAAGTTGTTAAATGCAAGTTCATGTAACGCGTATAAATAGATTTAGCAATCGATTGCATCAGGCTAAAATTAGAGCCAATATTTCCCAAAGACAGGCATCTAAGTGCCAAAAATCGATGAAAAAGAATAAAGTTAGAGCAAAAAAAGTTAGAGCGTTAGCTATCAAAACTGAGTTATGATGAAATTATAGATTCATACAAAAATTTGTCTAATGACCAACTTTATAATTTAGAAGATGTCATATATAGAAGAACTGTAGGCTAAAAACTAAATCATGAATTATATGATCCTAAACATCTAAGCCTGTTTTGTATAATGGCAGAGTAGAAAAAGTATTTAGTTGAAAAAATGACTTAGTTTACACTATTTCTTACTGGAAAGATGATGAAACGTATATGGAAGCTGTTGACCATTGCATGAAAAAGATCCAGCTTGTTGCAGATGTTGTTTCAGAAGAGTAACAACTTTATTAATTTTATATTATATTAAGAAAACACTGTGAAAGTACAAGTTTGAAATTTAACCTAAAAAAGTACTACAAATGAATTGCTGAAAAATACTACCAGTATTGTGACTAGCTAAAAGAAATTTATTATTGTATTCATTCACTAAAAGCCAAGACAAAACTATATGAGATAAAAAATAAACAAATCGTTATTATTTCTATTTAATAACATTTTATTTGTTTTTTAGTTTGAAACAGCTAAAGTGCTATTTGAGAGATTTAAAAATTATTAAAGGTTGGGTAATAAAATGGATATCAAAGCTGTAGAACATTGCATGAAAAAGTTTCAGCTTGTTGCAGATATTGTTTCCAGAGAGTTGACTCGATATTATTTTGTTAAAACACTGCAAATTTATAAATTTGAAATTTATAGATTAAAAAACTGCAAGTGCTGTGATTTGTTTTAAAAAAAAGTACTGCTAGTGTTGTGACTTGCTAAAAAAAAGTAGCCTAAGTGTTGTGACTTGGTCAAAAAGAGTACTGCAAGTGTTGTGATTTGCTAAAAATAGTACTGTAAGTGTTGTGACTTGCTAAACAAAAGTACTGCAAGTGTTGTAACTTGCTATGTATTTTTGATAGATGGCTCTGGCTTACCTTCACGTGGTGTCTATTGCTAAAAATGATTATAAAATAATTTCATTAGTATAATTTATCATTGTAATCATTCACTAAAAGCCAAGAAAAAACTTTATGAAATAATGCATCATTAAAATAATCAAACATTATTTAGTGTTATTAACATTTTTGTTTTGTTTTTTAGTTTAAAACAGCCTAGCTTTTTGTTAACCAAACTAGTATCAAGCACTATATGAAAGATTTGAAGATTTATAAAGGTTAGTAAATACCTTGTTTTGATTACCTTTTTACCACTATTGACTGATAATAGAACTCTGTATGAGAATATTTTAACCAAAAATTCTCCAATTAATTAAAAATGCTTTTTTTAAAAAAAAATGTTTAGTTGGGGGAAAGGGAAGGGGGATGGTCCCTCTCTTTTGACAATGGATGCAACACTGATGTAAATTTTACCGGGTTAGATATATTTTTCACTTCTTTCTTGTTGTTCTTTAAATAAACAATCAAATATTTTATAATTAAAATTTTTTTGTGATATTAGAGTGTGTTAAAACACGGTCAACACATTGAGTCAAAACATGAGTTTTACACGTACCTTCAATGTTTGGTGGTTGTCCAGTATTAGTTTATAAAACCTTTTTTATACAGAAAAAAATTTTGTATTGGGACTTTAGGAAACAGTAGTTGTGTCATTTTAATTTTTTAAATTTTTTTTTAGGTTGGGGGGCGGTTATTCGCCCCTCCCATACATCGATGTAAACACGACTTAAATTCGTAATAGTACCACCACGTAAATTCTTGTAGAACGTAATATTATATTGTATACTAATAGAGTTCAGTTTAGTAAAGATAAAAATATTTATGAAAACAAGTCTTTTTTGATACTAGGGTGTATCAAACCATTACCACCACATCTACCTCCAACGTTAACCTATGCCTCTCATATACTCTGGTGGTTAAATATAATTTTATAACAATGTTTTTGTATATTTAAAATACTTATGTCTTAAAAAAATTTTTTTTTTTGTGAAAAAAAAGTCTTTTTTCAAGAAAAAATGTTTAATTTCATACGGGTAAGGTGGTGGTTTGGCGCCCCTCTATCCATCCGATACACCCGGTGGTTAGAGTTAAACAATAATTTGTAGCCCACTCTTACACCTATCTTTTGACACCAAGATATTTGTATTTTGATAAGAATTAATAAAGTTATGACAATTTAAGTGAAGAAAAACATAATTTTGACCACAGTTTCTTCAACAATTCCATATATCGAAAAATCGGTACTTAAACTGTCATAACTTTTAAACCGATTGTTCGTTTTTGATAATTTTTTCACCTTTAAAATACTGTATTGGTCCTCTTTCTAATGATATATAACAGTAGAATATTTTAACAATTTAAAGTTTTTACTCACGTACCTAATGTTCAGGGTAACTTTGAATAATCAATGTTTCCTAAAAGTGTTTTTTTGCTGTCTGAGTAACATTGCAATAATGCATAATAAATATAATAGACATCTTTTTATTATAGTATTTTTATTATGTAATAATATATATATATATATATATATATATATATATATATATATATATATATATATATATATATATATATATATATATATATATATATATATATATATATTATTATATATACATTATATATATATATATATATATATATATATATATATATATATATATATATATATATATATATATATATTATATATATATATATATATATATATAATATAAATATCATAAATAAAAATATCTATTGCTAATGTATTTTGATATTTTAAGTTTTGATATTTATGGCTTTTTTGATAGTTTTAAAAACTTATTTTATTAATAGCAAATATGCAGTTAATTAAATAATTTTCATTAATAACAGCAGTTATCTCTATATTTTTAGCATTCTTAAAATGCCAAGAAAAAGTTTGACAACTCATCCTGGCACTAGAAAACATGGCACAATATCTAATTATTCAAATGCTACACTTCAAGAGGCATTAACCAAAATTAAATTAGAAAACATGTCGATTGGTGAAGCTTCTAAAATTTTTAAAGTACCTAAAACAACATTATTTTATAAGCTAAAAAGTAAACACTGTAAATCAGTAGGGCGCCCTATTGCTCTTAACATTGATGAAGAACTTTTTTTTGAAAATCATTTACTTTATTTAAGTGATAAAGGTATACCAATTGGAATTAATGATTTTAAAAGTATTGTCAAAAATGATAATCTCAATGGTAATGGAAAAGATATACAACAGTTTAAAGATAACTGACCAGGTTGGGAGTGGGTTATCTCATTGTATTTCAAGGAAATGTGCACAGGTTAATTATTGTCAAATAAAATTATTTTTTTAAAATCTAGAGAAGGAATTAAATTGAGTAACGCCAGATAACATTTATAATATGGATGAAACAAGGTTTCATGACGACCCTGGAAAAAAAAAAACTTATTATTTGTCGATCCTCTCGCCATCCAGAACTTATAAGAAACACTACAAAATCTTGTAACACTGTTGTTTTTTGTGGAAATGCCTCAGGAAAGCTATTTCCACCATTTTTCATTTTTAAAGAAAAACACAGTTGGTCTGACTTTAATGCACCAGAAAGATCAAGAATGGGAACTTATTGCAGTGTCTGGATGGAAATTCAAATATTTAAAGAGTGGCTGTTAAATCACTTTGTTCCAAATATTATAAATAAGGAAGGTAAAAAAGTTCTGACTTGTGATAATTTAAGTGCTTATATATCTTTAAAAGCCTTAAATATATGTGAAAAGCATAATATAACATTTATATGTTTGGTACCCAATTCCACACACCTTTTACACCCTCTAGATGTTGGGTATTTCTTGAGTTTAAAAGCTAATTAGAGGTCAGTTTTTAACCAATTGCATAAAACATCCCAAGGGAAAAAAATAATAATCTATTAAAAAGTTTGTTTTCGCAGCTCATTAAATCTACTCTTAATGTTGGTAAAGAAAATCTAGAACATAATCTACAAGTAGGATTTAAGGCTACTGGGATATATCCATTCGACCCTGAACATGTTCTCTCGAAATTACCCAGTTTTACAAATATAGATATTCATCTCAACATTGGAGAGTCGTTTAGGAAATATGTTGATGAAATTCATACATCTAATCTTAATTATGAAGCAAGCAAAAAATTCAAGTTACCAATAACAGCAGGGAAAATTGTTCAGTGATCAGCCACTGAGGTAGAAGCATACTATAAGTTAAGAGACAATAAGAAAAAAATCAAGGTAATATTCAAACAAAGAAAAGAGGAAGACCACTTGGATCAAAAAATATATTTATGAAAATAAACAGAAAAAATATTTCACAAAGTTCAAGCATTGTAGATGTTAATCAAGTTATTAAAGACAATGAGCAAGTTGTATCTCAAAATGATGCAGTTTCTTAATTAGAGCAAATAAACAATCACAATTTGTTTTCCATGATCATGATTATTCAATTATAGAGTTAGTTGTGACTCAAGACTAAAATAATGGACTTAAACACTGTAATAATTAATTTTATAGTCACAGTTATTTATTTGTGTGGAATTATATAGAAATGACGTCTTAATTATTTTTTCTTTCATAACCTTAAAAATTGATCAACAAGTTCATTTAGTGATTTGTAATATTTTATTGAAAAATTTGTTTGTTTATTCTCAATATAGATTAATTAGATTTTTTTAAAAATTAATTTGAGCTAATACAACGAAATTTAAACAACTTTTTAGATTTAACTGATTAAAATTGACATTTAACTTAATAGTGTTCAAAGTTACCATAAATGCAAGTGTAACTTTGAATCCCTACTTGAACTTTGTTTTTTAACAAAATAACTAGCAAATTTAAAAAAATGATAACAAAAAAAGAGATCATGAGAACACCTTTTATGTAAAAATAATTGCTAACTAGTTTGTAAAAAAAAAATTTGTTGAGATAAACCTAGCGCAAAGCGTTCAAAGTTACCCGGAATGACTGCACTTTCGCGGTGAAGTTACATCCACCTTGTTTTAGCATAAAAATATCTTAAATTAATCTTAAAAAATGGCAAGCAAGTATGTAAGTACTACAAATAGTTTGTATCTCTCTTTATCGAATTAAGAGTTTTTGTGCAAATAAAAGTATTAATAACATGATAATAGTTGTTTTGATATCAGTATATATAGTAAAAGAAATAAGTTTAAAATTCACATAATTTCTCTTTTTCTTAAATAAAAATGAAGAGAAAAAAAGAAAGGGTAGAAATTCGGTAACTTTTTAGGCTTAAAAACTCTTAATTTAAGATTTCAAAAGGGACATTTGAACTACATTGAAGAACCTAAACAGGTGATTTACAGAAACATTAAAATTTTTAATCTGAATACCACTGTTATTGGGAATAAAGACTCCTAGGTTTGTAAAGTAATATGAATTAATGTAATATATATATATATATATATATATATATATATATATATATATATATATATATATATATATATATATATATATATATTCACATATATATATATATATATATATATATATATATATATATATATATATATATATATATATATTTATATATATATATATATATATATACATATATATATATATGTATACATATATATATATATATAATATATATATATATATATATATATATATATATATATATATATATATATATATATATATATATATACATATGTGTGTATATATATATATATACATATGTGTGTATATATATATATATACATGTGTGTTTGTGTATATATATATACGTGTGTGTGTTTGTGTATATATATATGTGTGTGTTTGTGTATATATACACACACACACACAGATTAATGACTTTTCCTAATTGAGCACTTTTTCTCAAATTAACGAATACAAGCTCTTGTCAAATTATCCATAATACATTAGTCATCGTAAGTAATAAATTAAGAACTAATTATGTGTGAAATAAAGTCTAAGTTGAAGTCATTAATGACTTCAATTTGGCTCTTAATTAAAACTGCTCTTAACTAATAAGGCTTTTAATCACGATTGTTCTTCATATTATTTTAATATATAATAACCATACAATTTAGGTTGATTTAGGTTATTATTGATATTTGTTTTTATTAAAACTTATAGTTATATTTGTATATGTATATATATATATATATATATATATATATATATATATTATATATATATATATATATATATATATATATATATATATATATATATATATATATATATATATATATATATATAATATATATATATATATATATATATATATATATATATATATATATATATATATTATATATATATATAGATATATATATATATATATATATATATATATATATATATATATATATATATATATATTATATATATATATATATATATATATATATA